CGCTGGGCAGGCGCGGCTGGGAGCCCTTCGACTGGGGCCGCTTGCTCGAGGCCCTGTGCCGGGAGGAGCCGGTAGTGCAGGGGCCTGACGGCCGTCTGGAACTGTAAGTCCTCGCCCGCGGCCCCTCAGCAGGTACGGGAGGCGGGGGCTGTCGGGGGATCGACGCACAGAGAGGTGAAATAAGCCCCTTCGGCGACGGCCTGCCGCGTACCCTATGAGCAGGGGCACCCTTCACTACACATCTAGATGTGTATAAGAGACAGTCACTGAGCACCTGCCGTGTGCGGGACACGGAGGATCCGGGAACTCGAGGCACACGCCTTCTGTTGGCTGTAAAGTATAGTGATAAGTGGAGGCAAATCACTTTTGATCGCATACTGCCATCTCTAAACAATTGGACACGTACGTCCAGTATAAGTATACTTATGTATAAAGTGTACACGTGTGTTAAAATACGTACATTTTAAAGTACAAAAATAGATATTTAAAACGTGATGGTGGAATACATACCCGCTATCCTGGTGGCCCTATACTCTCTGCTTTTCAAAGCATAACGTTCACTGTAAGGCAAGATTGTTTTCCCTAAGAATGGTAACTGTGAATCCATATCTTAGTGTTCTTGATAATTTCTGGCTCTTGGATGACATTGAACTTCGTTTTTTAACCTCTCTGTGACTGATTAAGAATTCCTACTAGGAGCAGAGGTGTCGGCCCTGCCATTTTATTTGGTTGTGTTTCTGTTATTGATATTATCTCCAATTTTTTGGCAGGCATTCTATTAAGCTACGTGCTCATTTGTGAGGACAACTTTTGTTTAAAAAAAAAAGATAGTACAGTATCCACAAATGCATTTAACTAGCAAAGTTAACTAAAACACACAAAAAACGAAAAATGAGTGGGTGAGGCGCCATGTTCAGCTCCTAGTGGGGCCAGCCTTCCACTCTTCTTGGATACCCCTCCCCCATAATTTATGCTGGAAACCATCCAGATGCTAAATATTTCTAATGCTTACTTTTTTATGTTTTAGATAAATAGGGGAAAATGGGAGTTCCAATCTTTTCTTCCTACACTCCACTTCGAATTTCTTTCAGGAGATGGGTCAGGAGAACTTGTTTGAATCCCCAAATTGGAAGCTATAGAAATGTTTGCCCAGCTATCTGGCTTATTCTGGATAGAGTAAGGGGAGGGCAAAGGCCTTAACTTGGGGCCCCTGGATAGAAGAGTATTTCAGTACAATTGATTTCCTTTAGAATCCTAGATATTTTATCAAATGCATTTAACACTCATTCTGATCACAGGTCTCTGGCACTAAAAAAGGTTAAAATCTCCTGGAGTAGAGTCTTCTCTACCTCTCTACCCCCAAATATCCTCCCTGCCACAAATTAACCATCTTTTAAACTCAGGTTTTTTTGTTTTGTTTCTTTTTTTTTTTTTGGCGGAATCTTGCTCTGTTGCCCAGGCTGGAGTGCAGTGGCGCGATCTTGGCTCACTGCAACCTCCGCCTCCAGAAGAAGCAATTCTTCTGCCCTAGCCTCCTGAGTAGCTGGGACTACAGGCGCGCGCCACCATGCCCGGCTAATTTTTGTATTTTTAGCAGAGATGGGGTTTCACCATATTGGCCGGACTGGTCTGGAACTCCTGATCCACCCACCTTGGCCTCCCACAGTGCTGGGATTACAGGCATGAGCCACTGCTCCTGTACCATCTTTTAAACTTTGACTCTAGTTTTTCTCTCTCACATGGTGTCTATATTCTACAAAGAAATAGTTGTCTTTTGTTTTTTCTGCCTCACAACCCAAGTGCCTCTTGACAAATGGCCCTGCAAAATTATGCATAGGGAGGAGTAAAGACATGATGGGTGGTGGGCTAAATGCTGCCGTGACTTGCCACACCAAGCCTCAGGTCATGTAGGATCTGGGTTGGTGCCTCCGCAGAATTACAGATGGTTACATTGCATCATGGGCCTTTGGAGCTCGGGGGAATAGCATTAAATCTATTTTAAGAAAAGTTGGGTGCTTGCAGGAGAGCATTGGTTCTGCTTACACCCCTGGGGCTCCAAAACAAAAGATCCTCATCCCCCTGTCTTCCCCTTTGACTCTGTGAATACTGTTTAGAATCTGTAAAGTGATTCCTTCTGTTTCAAGTTTCATCTCTGGGAAGCCTTCTATGTCCACAGCAGCTCTTGCCGATCTCAGCACACTTATTCTCAGAGAGTTAATTCATTCAATAAATGCACAACAAGTGCCTGCTCTGGGCTGGCGCTGTGCTGAGTCCTAGGACACAGAGAAAGGAAACACTACCTTCACCTTTTAGGAACTCAAAATTTGGTGAAAGGAACACAAGAACTGGACAGATGAGTGACCCCGAGAGTTCCAGGGGATTGCTGAGGGCAGCCATAGGGCTGCAAGACTAAGCACTGCACAGCATCCTGGAGTATTATTTTTCCCTAAAATTTGGGAAAGAACTTTTTTCTTCTTTTTGTGTAAAACAAGCATGAATCTATTATAGAGTAGGTTCCAATATGAATTTTGAGCTGAAACAGATGACAGAGGCCAAAGAATAGGGCCTGTCATATGATACTCAATGAACACTTGTTAAACAGTTCTCGTGTTGTCTCTGTCTCCATCCACTGACTTTTTTTTTTTTTCTTTCCTTTTTTTGAGATAGTGTCTCACACTGTTGCCCAGGCTGGAGTGCAGTGGCATGATCTCGGCTCACTGCAGCCTCTGCCTCCTGGGTTCAAGCCATTCTCCTGCCTCAGTCTTCCTGGTAGCTGGAACTACAGGCACATGTCACCACGCTTGGCTAATTTTTATACTTTTTTTAGTGAAGATGGAGTTTCACCATGTTGGCCAGGCAGGTCTCAAACTCTTAACCTAAAGTGATGTGCTCACTTCAGCCTCCCAAAATGCTGTGATTACAGGTGTGAGTCACCACACCTGGCCAACATCCACTGACTCTTACAGATTGACTGCCTGCCAGCCCCCATCTGTCCACTGCCATCTAGCCCCCAGCTCTGCCCAGTCTGCCCTGTGCTCCCTTCAGCCAGACACTCTAACTGCTTGCTCTCCCTCTGCTACCCAGGAAACCACTGTTGCTGCGATTGCCCCAGATATGCCAGAGGAACCTGATGTCCCTGCTGATGGCCGTTCGGCCGTCACTGCCGGAAAGTGGGCTCCTCTCTGTGCTGCAGATTGCCCAGCAGGACCTAGCCCCTGACCCCGATGCCTGGCTCCGTGCCCTGGGGGAATTGCTGCGAAGGGATCTAGGGGTGGGGACCTCCATGGAGGGAGCTTCTCCACTGTCTAAAAAATGCCAGAGACAGCTCCAAAGTCTGTGCAGGGGGCTAGGCCCAGGGGGCAGGAGGTTGAAATCCCCACAGTCTCCAGACCCTGAAGAAGAGGACAACAGGGACTCCCAGCAGCCTGGGAAACGCAGAAAGGAGTCAGAGGAAGAGGCTGCCAGTCCTGAGGGGAAGAGGGTCCCCAAAAGGTTCCGGTGTTGGGAAGAGGAAGAAGATGATGAGGAGGAGAGACCTGAACATAAGTCACTGGAATCCCTGGCAGATGGAGGAGGTGCATCTCCTATTAAGGACCAACCTGTCATGGGAGCTAAGACTGGCCAGGACGGTTCGAGTCTGGCGGATGCTAAAGGTCTAGCTGAGAGTTTGGAGTTGCCCAAAGCTATCCAGGTACTTTGGTAGGGAGACTGGGTTTAGAGTGATCTTTCACCAGTGGTGGCTTTATCCGTGGGGAAGGCTGGTTGGGACACTTTTTCCCAAAGGAGTTGACTGTAGTTCTTGGAGGAAAAAGGAGGAAGGTAGGGTTTAGGGAATGTAGCCTCCACTCCACAGACTTTTTTTTTCTTTTTTTGTTTAAGATGGAGTTTTGCTCTTGTTTCCCAGGCTGGAGTGCAATGGCACAATCTCAGCTCACCGCAACCTCTGCCTCCCAGATTCAAGTGATTCTCCTGCCTCAGCCTCCCGAGTAGCTGGGATTATAGGCATGTGTCACCACGCCCAGCTAATTTTGTATTTTTAGCAGAGACAGGGTTTCTCCATGTCAGTCAGGCTGGTCTTGAACTTCCGACCTCAGGTGATCTGCCCGCCTTGACCTCCCAAAGTGTTGGGATTACAGGTGTGAGCCACTGTGCCCAGCCACTCCACAGACTCTTAAGGAGGGGTAGGGAAGGGAGTTACTGGAGGTGGGAAATGTGTCCTAATGATCTATAACGTGGGGTTAAAGGGTGCCAGGCAAGGGAGAGGCTCTGGAGCCACCCCTGTTACCCTGTAATATGTGGGTGGGAAGAATCATGACAGCATCCAGCCTGCCCCTGCCTCCTTGTCCAAGGCCTGGGTCTACCCCCATTTGGGTTGGGAGCAGAAAACAATTCTAGACAGCTGGTTTTCATTTTTTTTTTCTTTTTTTTTTTTTGAGATGGAGTCTCACTCTGTCGCCCAGGCTGGAGTGCAGTGGCACGATCTCGGCTCACTGCAACCTTCACCTCCCGGCTTCACACCATTATTCTGCCTCAGCCTCCCAAGTAGCTGGGACTGCAGGTGCCCGCTACCACGCCCGGCTAATTTTTTGTATTTTTAGTAGAGATGGTGTTTCACTGTGTTAGCCAGGCTGGCCTCAATCTCCTGACCATGATCCGCCCGCCTCCGCCTCCCAAAGTGCTGGGATTACAGGCGTGAGCCACTGTGCCTGGTGACAGCTGGGTTTCATTTGGACCTTGTCTAGTTTGGGTTCTTAGGCACTTTTCAAGATAGAGACTTCATGTTCTTGACTTTTTTTTTTTCCTCAAGACAGGGCCTCTCTTCCCCTAGGCTGGAGTAAAGCTGGGATTACAGGCATGCACTATCATGCCTGGCTAATTTTTTATTTTTATTTTTGTAGAGATGGGGTCTCAACTAGTTGTGCAGGCTAGCCTTGAACTCCTGGGCTCAAGTGATTCTCCCGCTTCAGCCTCCCAAAGTGCTGGTGTGAGCCACCGTGCCTGGCCTCTTGACTTTCTTGAATCGTCTTTGCCGGCTAGCTCCCACTGACTTGGGGAGCCAGAACCAGGCTTGGGGTCATGCTGCTGGGGGAGGGATGTGGCAGTGACTGGGTTCTCCTCCACAGGACCAGCTTCCCAGGCTGCAGCAGCTGCTGAAGACCTTGGAGGAGGTGACTGGCCCTACCCTGTTCACCATAGCCTTTCTTCCACCTTCTACCCAGATCCTAGCTATGCCCAGGGAAGGCCCAGTGCAGTGATATATAAGCTGGCTGGGGGAGGGGGACTGGAGTAAAGGTCTGAGGACAGTCTCTGAAGGAGCTTTTCTTGAACCAAGTGTAGACTTACCATCTAACACCAGGTAACTTCCTCTTCTCTGGTAGCGCCTTCCAGGATCTCAGCCACTCCTTCTGCCACCTGAAGGGGCGGCTTCAGTGACTTGTCACCGAAGGCTCTGCCAGCCCTAACATGAGATTTGATTTGTCTCTGCAGGGGTTAGAGGGGTTGGAGGATGCTCCCCCAGTTGAGCTACAGCTTCTTCACGAATGTAGCCCCAGCCAGGTGAGTCCAGATAGACTGCCTGGCTCTGAGGTTACATTCTCTCTCCCTTATCTTTTTCTATTTAAGTTTATGTTTTCCTACCTCATGTGGGAAATGTGGGAGGGGATTTTGTTGTTTTCTTTCTCAGTGATAGGGGTCACTCTCTGTAGTTTCTTTTAGTCCCTGGTTCCTTCCCCTAGGGCAGCTCTCCCAGACTTTCTTTGCTCTGGAGTATCTTTGCCCTGCTCCGTCTGCTGCCCAGTTGCTTGAGACAGCCTAGCAGAGGCAGAGTGCATGTCCTGGTGCCCTTTCTCCCCCGTGTCCCACTCTGTCAGCAGATGGACTTGCTGTGTACCCAGCTGCAGCTCCCCCAGCTCTCAGACCTCGGTCTCCTGCAGCTCTGCACCTGGTTGCTGGCCCTTTCACCTGATCTCAGCCTCAGCAATGCTACTGTGCTGACCAGAAGCCTCTTTCTTGGACGGGTAGGTGTACTGGGAGGTACTCAGAGTGCCAAGGACAATGGGGAAGAGCATCTGGGCCCTCAGAAGGGTGGTACTTGAGAGAGAAGATTCTCAGCCTTGTAGACATCTGGGCTGTTTGGGCAGCCTGGGGCAAGGAAAGGATGCCTGCTTAACTGGCAGGGCATGGACCCCCAGGCCATCTACCCACATGGCATCTAACTTCTTTTTTTTTTGTGACAGAGTCTCACTCTTGCCTAGGCTGGAGTGCAGTCGCGCGATCTCCTGCCTCAGCCTCCTGAGTAGCTGGGATTACAGGTGGCCTCCACCATGCCTGGCTAATTTTTGTATTTTTATTTATTTATTTATTTAGAGATAGAGTCTTGCTCTGTCACTCAGGCTGGAGTACAGTGGCGTAATCTCGGCTCACTGCGACCTCTGCCTCTGTGGTTCAAGTGATTCTCCTGCCTCAGCTTCCTGAGTAGCTGGGACTACAGGCACCCACTACCACACCTGGCTAATTTTTGTATTTTTAGTAGAGACTGGGTTTCGCCATGTTGCCCAGGCTGGTCTCGAACTCCTGGACTCAAGCGATCCAGCTGCCTCAGCCTCCCAAAGTGCTGGGATTACAGGCGTAAGCCACCATGCCCAGCCAGCATCTAACTTCTCTCTGGGCACCAGAACCTTTCTAGAAGCTGATCAAGGGACTTTCAGGGATTTGGGAACTGAGCAAGAGAGGTATATATCTTTTCCAATGGGTGGGTCCATGTGAGTTCTAAGTAAAAGAACTTTTTTTCCCTTTGTAACATGTATCACCATCTGAAATGTGTGTTTGATAAATGCTGTTGAAATGAAAAGAATTAATTTTTTCCTCCCTGTTGGCTATAGATCCTCTCCTTGACTTCCTCAGCCTCCCGCCTGCTTACAACTGCCCTGACCTCCTTCTGTGCCAAATATACCTACCCTGTCTGCAGAGCCCTCCTTGACCCTGTGCTCCAGGCCCAAGGCACAGGTAATTCTGGAACCAGCCCCAGGCCCAGTAGCTCTGCCCTCAGTGTTCTCAGCACCCTTCACCCCAGAGTGGCCCTGGCAGGAGTTGGGTATTCAGTGATTAAAGATGCCTGCTGCTTCCCTGATGATGCCCCTATAACAGGCTGGGCATTCTGTTACCGCCTCCCCACTTTCCGCCGTCTTCTACCATTTCCCCCCAGACTTCCCCTTCTGCTTTCCTCTACCCAGGTCCTGCTCAAACAGAGTTACTATGTTGCCTTGTGAAGGCAGAGTCCCTGGAGCCAGATGCACAGGTTCTAATGCTGGGGTGAGTGTGCAGGCCTCCATGCTGTCCCCACCGCCACCTGTTCCCCCAGGCTACAGTGACATCACGTGTGTTGGGCCCTGCAGGGAAGGCTCACCTTCTCTAGGAAGCCTCATGTATATCATCTCACTCCATCATCTTCCTCCTCTATGAGTCCTCTTTGCCTTTTGTTCTCAGGATGCACTCTCTACTCCTAGTTATTTTTTAGGGGACCCTTGTGTCTCACTACCAAATACTTTGTTGTCAGCTCCTGGGGCTCTTGGGGTGTGACCTTCCTGGCAGTTGTATGAGCTCTGCAATAGTGTCTGCTGGGGCTGGTGCCAGCATCAAGAGGTCTCTGACTACCCTTTTTTTTTTTTGCGGGGGGGCAGGGGACAGAGTTTTGCCCTGTCGCCCAGACTGGAGTGCAATGGCGTGGTCTCTGCTCACTGCAACCTCTGCCTCCCAGGTTCATGCAATTCTCCTGCCTCAGCCTCCTGAGTAGCTGGGATTACAGACGCCTGCCACCACGCCTGGCTAATTTTTTGTATTTTTAGTAGAGATGGGATTTCACCATGTTGGCCAGGCTGGTCTCGAACTCCTGACCTCAGGTGATCCACCTGCCTCGGCCTCCCAAAGTGCCATGGTGCCCCACCCCTGACTACCCCTTTGTTGACTGGAGATCTTGGCTGTCCTCAGGGCTTTGCCGTGCTGTGGGAGTTGCAGCAGCAGACAGATACTCAGGCTTGGGTGGGAGGCCAGGCATTTCTCACTAGGGCCCCTGCTTTGCAGACAGATCTTGGAGCTGCCCTGGAAGGAGGAAATTTTCTTGGTGTTGCAGTCACTCCTAGAGCGGCAGGTGAGCAGGCTGTCCTGGGGAAGAGTGGACAAAGAAGTGCTGCAGTCCTTGGAAGGACATCGGGTTCTTAGGTTTCTGAGTCCTTCAGTGGATGCAGGGTCAAGTAGGACAGCTGCCCTACAGCAGCTGCCTGAGACAGTGGGAGAGACCTGGGGCATGCAAAGCTGGTAGCAGAAAGCTGAGCACATGGTCACTTCAGCTCCACCTCTTACTAGCTGGGCGGCCTTGGGGTGGGATTTTTGATGTGTGTGTGTAAATTTTATTTTATTTTTGAATAGGTAATAGATTCGTATGTTCACAATTTTTTTTTTTTTTTTTTTTTTTTTTTTGAGATAGAGTCTGGCTTTGTCACCCAGGCCAAAGTGCAGTGACACAATCTTGGCTAACTGCAACCTCTGTCTACTGGGTTCAAGCAATTCTTATGCCTCAGCCACCCAAATAACTGGGATTACAGGCGTGTGCCACCATGCCAGCTAATTTTTGTATTTTTAGTAGAGACAAGGTTTCACCATGACTTGAGGCCAGAACTTCTGGGCTCAAGTGATCTGCCCTCCTTGGCCTCCCAAAGTGCTGGGATTATAAGCGTGAGCCACCATGCCCAGCCCATATGTTGACAATTTTAAAAGCTCAAAAGGATACTGTGAAAAATATTCCCCTTACTTCTCTTCTCCAACCATCCAGAGTCCCCCAGTTTCAGGGGAACCCCCCCTCCCAGAGATACCAGCTATATGTGGAAACATGTTTACACTTACTATCCATCCTACTTTTTATGGAAATTGCAACACACCAAACTCATTGCCCTGTACCTTGCTTTTTTTACTTCACAGTGTATTTTGGTGATTTTTTTTCATATCAGTACCTAAAATTCTGCCTCATTTGTTTATATCTTAGATAACTGACCTAACTTCTTTATTCCTGTAGTTTCCTCGTCTACAGAAGGGGAGACAGAATATTAATAGCACCTACCACATAAGATTGGAGTGAGGTTTAAATGAGATAATTGGTATAAAGTACTCAGAATGGCACCTGATGCACAGTGTTTATTAAATTATTATTATTATTATTTGAGACGGAGTCTCACTATATCACCTAGGCTAGAGTGCAGTGGCGCGATCTCGGCTCACTGCAACCTCCGCCTCCTGGGTTCAAGTGATTCTCCAGCCTCAGCCCCCTGATTAGCTGGGATTACAGGCACGCACCACCATGCCTAGCTAATTTTTGTATTTTTAGTAGAGATGGGATTTCACCATGTTGGCCTGGTTGGTCTCGAAGTCCTGACCTCAGGTGATCTGCCCTCCTCGGTCTCCCAAAGTGCTGAGATTACAGGTGTGAACCACCACACCCAGCCTAAATTATTATTATGAAGAGCCAGGAGATTAAGGTGGCAGTGTCTCTTGGGCCCTGACTCGTTTATATCTTTAACCACTGAACCAGACAAGGGATCCTTGGCTTCCCCTTGGTCCTAATCTGAGCCTTTGCAATGGTAGCCACCATTTTCTGAGACGTGCGTGTCTTATGTGCATTATCTCATTTAATCCTTTTCACAGTCTTCCATTAGATATTCTGAGCCTCATTTTACAGATGTGGAAATGGAGGTTTAGGTTGGTTAAGTAACCTGCCCAGGGTCACCCAGCTAGGAAGTGGTTGAGTTAGGAATTGAATCCAGGACTGGCAGAATGAAGAGCCCAAGCCCTTCTTGTGATTACTGCTCCATCTCCCAATGTGTGCAGGTGGAGATGACCCCTGAGAAGTTCAGTGTCTTAATGGAGAAGCTCTGTAAAAAGGGATTGGCAGCCACCACCTCCATGGCCTATGCCAAGCTCATGCTGACAGTGATGACCAAGTACCAGGCTAACGTGAGTACTGATAGGGCCATGGGGCTGGTCCTGCTGGCAGGGCTGCCCTGGGCCTGCCACAAGGGTGTATGAATATGTATGTCAGGGATAAAACCCTGAGTGCTGGGGTTGATGTAGACCCTCCCAGAAAGATGGAAGTATGAACATGCTTCTGTTGCACAATTTCAGCGAGCTCCTGAATCCTCTGGAGATCCAAACAGAAGGACCTCCAATATGAGGCATCAGGAGTCATTCAAGGGCCTTCAACCTGGGAGTAACTTGGTCAGATCTGTACTATTAAGAAGCATCTGGCTTCTGTGAGGAGTGGGATTGGAGGGTGAAGATCTAGGGCCTGAGACCTGTCAGGAGGTTGTAGCAACAGGGCAGAAAGAGAAAGTGTGGCCCAAAAGGAAGGCAGGTGTCACACAGTAGAGTGTCTGTGAACCTCAGTTTTCTCATCTGTAAAATGGGAGGGTTTTGAGGATTATATACAGCAATGCATATACATGATGTGTATGTATGTTTGTATATGGATTGATGCATATAAAGTGCTGCCACATAGTAAACACACAATAATTGTCAACTATTACTAATGTGGCCGGCTTAGTAAGTTGTGCAGCTAGTATTTGGCTCCAGGTCCACCTAGTTAACTATGGTGAAATAATGAGATTAGATTGCTCAGGAGTCTCCTCCTTCTATCCTCCTGGCTTCCTCTCTCCTTCCTCAATAGAGACCCTGGGGTAGTGGAGAGAGGGGAGGGATCAGCTGCTGGAGTCCTGACATGATTTTTCCTTCTCCGCAGATCACTGAGACCCAGAGGCTGGGCCTGGCTGTGGCCCTAGAACCTAACACTACCTTCCTGAGGAAGTCCCTGCAGGCCGCCTTGAAACATTTGGGCTCCTGACCATCCACCAAGGGACCACCGTCTTGGTGCTCCATCACCAGCTTCCTGAAGGCATTTCTGTCTTCACCACCTTCTGTCTTGAGCCCTAGCCTGAGGATAAAGGCTGAGCCTGGCCATCCCAGATTCCAACTGCCTCCCTGTTCCAGGCTCCATAGGGGCATACTGGCCTCCCAGCCAACAGGGAGGCTCCTGGGCTAAGGAAGCTCAGCTATATTTTGTTTTTCATTTCTTTTCTTTTGTTTTTGAGAGAAGGTATTGCTCCGTCATCTAGGCTGGAGTGCAGTGGTGCGATTGATCATGGCTCACTGCAACCTCTGCCTCCCAGGCTCAATCCTCCCATGTAAGCCTCCCAAGTAGCTGGGACTACATGCACATGACACTGTGCCCCAGCTAGATTTTTTTATTTTGTAGATAATAAGCTGGTCAGGGCTGGTCTTGAACTCCTGAGCTCAAGTGATCTTCCTGCCTTGGCATCCCAAAGTGTTGAGATTTACAGGTGTGAGCCACCATACCAGGCCAGAGCTATATTTTCAAAGGCTGCTGGCCCCAGGCACACTCCTCATCAATTCTCAGGCTGCAGGGACAGAAACTTTCCAACAGGGCTCAGTAGGGTCAAGCCGACCCAGAGTGGACATGGGATGCTCCAGGAGGTCTAGGGTACCAGTGTGCTCAGATGAAGCTCTTGTGCTCGTGTATGTTATGACCTTCTGTGCTTTTGTTTCTGACTTGAATTTATCAATGGTATTGAATAAAAAGCAAGTTCAATAATGTCTTTTTCTTTTTTTTTTTTTTTGAGGCAGAGTCTCACTCTGTCACCAGGCTGGAGTGCAGTGGCGTGACGTCGGCTCACTGCAACCTCCACCTCCCCAGTTCAAGCGATTCTCCTGCCTTGGCCTCCTGAGTAGCTGGGATTACAAGCTCCTGCCACCATACCCTGTTCATTTTTGTATTTTTAGTAGAGACGGGGTTTCACCACATTGGCCAGGCTGGTCTCAAACTCTTGACTTCAGGTGATCCGCCTGCCTCCCAAAGTGCTGGGATTACAGGCGTGAGCCAGCACGCCTGACTAATGTCTTATTAGAAGCAGTACTTTCCTTCCTGTGAATTCTGGGTATTGAACCCATCCCCACCCCCTCCACCTCCCTGCTCAGTGACAAGAAACATCTTTTTCCTGGTGAGGGGAAGGGTGTAGGGTATCTTACTCACTTTCTGAGGGCCAAATAATGTGTAATACCACTCACCCCATCCTACAGGAGCTGCCCCCACCAGGCAGGGGGATAGGTGGGAATGGACATAAAGGTGGGAGTGACTCAGTCTGGAGTTAGGGAAGGGTTTTGGGCAGATGAACCCTAGGAGAGATCTGAAGGGCTCTTCGGGTTACAGTGGGCTAAGAGGATGAGACCCACTGGACAGAGGAAAGAGCAGAGAAGACACCTTAATGGGTGTGCAGTGCTGTGTGCCTGTTTTACATCTTTGTATTCCTGTAGCACCTGGCTAGACGCCTTATTCATAGTAGTCACACTTAAAACGTAGATGTTATCAAATCATCAAGTAAAAGTTCACTTTAAGACTTTGCCAGCTCTTCCCCTCTGCAGGCGCTGAGAGGCCAGGAACAGAACTTTCCGGAAGCTTCCCTTACCACGAGTCCACGTTAGAGCAAGGTGCTGAGGGAGGGAGGTCTGGCCGAGGAACAAGGCTTGCTTTTGAGAACATAAGCTGGTGCGGAGGGCGCGAGGGGAAAGGGGTTTGAGGGACAAGCATGCCGGAATCCACGCTGTCAGTGAACATCACTGGGCTGTACCAGTACGTGTGACTACCGAAGCTCGAGCCCCGAACGCAGCTGCTTCCCTAGGGGCCCAGCAACAGCGGGCGCGAATCGGCACATTACCGGCGGCCGCGGGGCGCTCAGGGCTGCGACAACTCCGTGGGTTCCCGCACCGGCCTAGCGGCCCAGCGACGCCCCCAGCGGCCGGAGAAGTCCGCGCTTCTCGGGGTTGGCCCACCCAACCTCTGTGTGGGTAGGACCGAGGAACGACGCATTCTCGCGAGACCGGGCCACTATTAGAGCGCATGCGCAAACTGTGCTAGTCTCTTTTCCGGTTAGCGCGGCGTGAGAAGCCATGAGGTAAGTGGTCCTGAAAGCCCTATCTGCGTTCATCCGCGCCTCCAGGTGCCCCGCCAAGGATGCGGCTCCTGCAGACCGAACTGCGGGCCCTTGCGTCACCTTCGCCGCGGGGCATTTCTCAAGGCGGGTCGGCCTGCGGGTCGCCATTTCTACCAGGTCCGATCACCGAGAGGCTCCCTCTTCCACCGGGGTTTGGGTCTGGGTCTGGGCTCCCGTCGCTCTACTTGGTGTCCGGAATCTACTGGGGAGTCCGCCGTGGGCCGCCCGCCCGTCTCGAAGCTTGGAGCCTCGGAGGCTTCCGAGCAGTCTGAGCGTGTGGACTCCGCGGCCCTGAGCGCGCTGTCGCTTCTCTCACGCAGCAGCAAAGTCTCTCGCGACACCCTGTACGAGGCGGTGCGGGAAGTCCTGCACGGGAACCAGCGCAAGCGCCGCAAGTGAGTGCCGACCCTGGGGCAGGGCGCGGGTGGTGAGGGCCGGCGTGTGCTTAATGTTTAATCCCCCTCCTCTCTCGAAGGTTCCTGGAGACGGTGGAGTTGCAGATCAGCTTGAAGAACTATGACCCCCAGAAGGACAAGCGCTTCTCGGGCACCGTCAGGTTGGCACCGTTCTGACCCCACCCAGCCCTCAGTGCCCCCGTGCTTGCCCCTCCCCTGCAGGCTCCCGCTGAGCCGGAGGCGGGCACGTCGGTACTGATGTGTTAGGGTAGTTCAGACCCCCTGCTCCGGGCAGGCGCGGCTGGACGGACCCCCACCCTGGGTCTTAAAACATGAGGGGAGGCGTGGGGAGGCCTTGGCCGAGCCCGCCGACCAGCCTGACAAGCCAGGCTGGCTGCTGGTGAATGTGAACGCTCCGGGTAAGGCTCGGTGGCTGCTGCGGTCCCACACCCTTCACCGGCCCTCGGGACCCAGGGCTAGGCATAACCTGTTGGTGCTGTCCCCCAAAACGCAGGCTTAAGTCCACTCCCCGCCCCAAGTTCTCTGTGTGTGTCCTGGGGGACCAGCAGCACTGTGACGAGGCCAAGGCCGTGGATATCCCCCACATGGACATCGAGGCGCTTAAAAAACTCAACAAGAATAAAAAACTGGTGAAGAAACTAGGTGAGTCCGGCCGCTGTGGTTTTGCATGTGAGATGTGGGGTGGAGGCGCTAGAAAGGCTTTCCTGCCATTTCGATTTTTAATGATGAGGGGGCTAGACTAGCAAATGCGGCGGTGGTTGCCTAGCTGGCCTGAGTGCTGTTTTAGCTTTGCGGTGGTTTGATGTTTGTATTTGCTATGAGGATTCCAGTTGATGAGGGAGGCCAGGTATTGTAAGTTGACCAGCCAGGTGCTGGTGAGGTATGATTTGGAAATCTTACTCTGCGTTGTTTAGGCAGTGGCATTAGACTGCTTTTACAGGTAGGAAGCAGACATTGCCAGTTGTCACGTGTCCAGGGTCCACCGCTAAGAAATAGGCACAATTCAAGCCTATTCTTTAGTTATTTTTTGAGACGGGCTGGAGTGCAGTGGTGCGATCTCAGCTCACTGCAAGCTCCGCCTCCCGGGTTTACACCATTCTCCCTCCTCAGCCTCCCGAGTAGCTGGGACTACAGGCGCCCGCCATCACGCCCGGCTAATTTTTTTTTTTTTTTTTTTTTTTTTTTT